TGCGATATATATATATATATATATATATATATATATATATATCGATGGAGATTTTCAGGAATGATAGGGATAAAATGGCATATATGCTGTGCTGGATAAAGTCCGCGTCGTTTATTTTGAACGTTGATTTACAATGTGTAAATTGGTTTTCATTTAGAGATAATTGGCATTTGATGCTCGTATGCCATTTTCCTCACAGTGCCAATGGGAATTTTCCGCCATTTCTCCCAACCAATGAAAAAAATAAAACGTCTTCAAGGCCGTCCAATGAAAAAAAAAAATGAGAGAACGTGCCAGGCGTGCCAATAACATTTCAAGCGCGTCACACAAGCACTTGTGTACATTTATGCACATATACATATGTTTCATATAAATGTGTAATATATATAACACATAAATTATATTCATTATATAATAATACATAAATGTGACCCTGGACCACAAAACCAGTCTTAAGTAGCACGGGTATATTTGTAGCAATAGCCAACAATACATTGTATGGGTCAAATCATTAGGATGTTAAGTAAAGAAACTAGTAGAAGACATTTTGTACATTTTCTGCCGTAAATATATCAAAACTTAATTTTTGATTAGTAATATACATTGCTAAGAACGTCATTTGGACAACTTCAAAAGCCAATTTTCTCAATATTTGGATTTTTTTGCACCATCAGGTTCCAGATTTTCAAATATCTCAGCCAAATATTGTCCTATCCTAACAAACCATACATCAATGGAAAGCTTATTTATTAAGATGTACACAGCTCAATTAAAAAAAAAAATCGACCCTTATGACTGGTTTTGTGGTCCAGGGTCACAAATAATATATACAATCCCCTTTCAGGGTTTCTGATATTTCATAAATTAAGGTCTAAAAAGGTCTTAAATCAGAAAGTCTTAAATACATCAACTAATAGCATTAAATATCGCATGCACTGCAGGAAATTCTTCCTCAGTATTTTTCTAATTGAGATACAGATTGAATATGTGAACATGTTTTCTGAGAAATTGAAAAACAAGAGTTTATGCTTAAAACTGCACTGGACCAGACAGGACTAGCAAAAAGTGCTCGGCACTGACAAGTCATGGTTTTGTCTCACCAGGAGTGATGGTCAGACTTGTGTTTATCATTAAAGGAGTGAGAGTTACACCGAGGCCTGTAGTCTTGAACGGGATTGGTTTGGAGGTGGAGGGTCCATCATTGTGTCACCGCATCAGACTGAGCTTATCGTGTTACAGGGAAGACATCCTCCTCCCTCACGTGGTACACTTCCTGCAGACTCATCCTGACATGATCCTCCAGCATGACAGAGCAAATCTGCAGTTTCAGTTTCTCTTAGTTGTTGAATCTTTGTTGAATGTTCATACAAGTATTTACACATTAGAATAGTTCGGAATTGTTCACCCAAAAAATACAAATGTACTCGCCCTCAGGCCATCCAAGATGTAGATGAGTTTGTTTCTTCATTGAAACAGATTTGGAAAATGTAGAGTTCATACAGCTGATAAAAACATCACAATAATCCACACGACTCCAGGCTATCAGTTAACGTCTTCTGAAGCGAAAAGCTGCGTGTTTGCAAGAAATCAATCCACCATGAACACATTTTTAACTCAAACGCTGCTTCCAGATAAAATGCAAGTCCTTTATCCATAATATTGCTGCCTCCAGTGAAGAAATCATGTTGTCTGAATTAGGAGAGAAATATGCACAGATTAAGCACTTGTACAAGCAAAAACATGTTGGTGGATTTTGATGAGAGAGGACAACAGGGGGTTGACTTTTTCACTGGATTCTTATTATGAACCGGTATTTTGGCCAGAAACAATGGTTTAAATTAAAACATCCTAATGATTTATCACAAACACACCGCTTTTCGTTTCACAAGGTGTTAATTGATGGACTGGTGTTGTGTGGATTACTTGTGGATTATTGTGTTTTTATCAGCTGTTTGGACTCTCATTCTGACGGCACCCATTCACTGCAGACGATCCATTGGTGAGGAAGTGATGGAATTTCTCCAAATCTGTTCAGATGAAACAAACTCATCTACATCTTGGATGGCCTGAAGGCAAGTGCACTGTCAGCAAATTTCATTTTGGGGTGAACTATTCCTTTAAAGAAGCTTGTAGCCACACCACATACTGACTGTTACTTTTGATTTTCCAAGTAAATAAAATCAGTTTTGTATTGAAATGTATGTGTATACATAAAAAATGAAATGTTTCATTATGAAATATGCAAGCGTAATTCATGCATATTTTATATAAAATGATATTTATATTTTTAAGTCATATATTTCATATTTAAAATGCTTTTAATTTATATTGTAAACTGAAATCAGACTACTCATGAGATATAAGAACATTCATAAATTTTTTTATACTGGTATAAAAAGAAGTAGTAGAATAAAGAAGACAAAAATGACACCAACATGGAAGTAGTGAATTTATTGATGTGTTTCCCACCTGCAACCAAGAAGCCATTTTCCACTGGATTCAACCATATTTTACTTCTAATATATGAACTTTGTATTATTTTCCCCTCACCCCTATGACCATTTCCACAATCAAGCAGGCAATGACAAGGTCCAAGATTGGAGCCATTTAGGTGCATAGTGAAAGTCACACAGAAATACTGTCACAGGAAGAGGGGAAAAAAATTGAAAATAAAAGAACTTAAAAATATATATCATAACATCTCATATAAGAACAATGCACACCACAGGTTGTCCTTGATAAAAGCCATGATTGCGGCATCAACTATACAGGCATACAAAGACATTGCTAAGAAGGGGGAAGAGAGAGAGCGAGAGAAAAAAAAAAATTGACTCAATTTATTCCTTGCATCGTAGTGGACATGCAAAACATTTCTTACACTTGCCTTGGCCTCCAGCTGAGTAACGTTAGTGCGTTTTTGCATTTAATCATGGTTTTCAAGGGTATGTCCTTGTGGGACTTAAGCTATAAACTATATATATATCGTAGTAGTATAATTACAGTCGACTTTATGCTCTCTTTGATGTAAGCAATGTGTGCAAAGTATTGCCACACGATAAAACTCTCCATGCCAGTTCTCATTAGGCAGCTATTAAATAAAAATACAGTATAACTGCGATAAACCTAAGCTGAATGCAACATTTTATCAGGCCAGATTTACTATAAAAAGGGAGCGTTGGAGTGTGTGCATGTAACGGCAGGAAAAATAACATTAATTCAGAATAAAGAGACATTTTAGTGTGATATGGGAGACTGGAGGCCCCTAACCTTGTGGCCCTTCCAACCAATCATGTGCAGGGGCCACACCGTTTATTGGTCCAAGTATATGATACCATAACCAAAAGATAAAAACAAATGACATAGTAAATGTTACTGAAATTGGGCACCTCTACATTCACAATCAGCCAAAATATCTGGCAGGCCGTCACGCCATTCAGTTCGAACCATTCATCGTATCTTACACAGGCGATGGTATCAGATGTTTGGACCGGGAATATCAGTCCTTTAATCTCAAAGTTTAAACCTGTAACCCAGCCAAGATTTAAGCTCTAGAAAAAAAAAAAAAAGACTGAATAAATTGACCATCTACTTTTTCTATTTATGTATATATTGTGTGTTTTTAATAATTGCAAAGTAAATGAATTAAGGATTTTCTTTTCATATTTTCTGATTCACTATACATTTAAGTCGTTACAAATAACCTTCATATACAAGCGATCTATTTAAAAGAAGTATATCCGGCGGCCAGCGATGGTGTAGACAAACTGCGGTCTCGTTTTGATTGTTTTGGCTTTGCTGTACCTCCATAGACTAGATCTGAACTTTATAAAATTAACATTTAAAATGACATTACAATACGTTCCGATTTCAATGACGGAAAATCAATTCTAGGCTAATTTGCAGAATCATGTTCTCCTGATTTAAAACAGTTGACTTTAAAATAAAATAAAAAGTTACAAGAGCATAAAATTGCGCTCCAACAGTAGCAGTATTAGAAGTAGTAGTATTAATAAACCACTGTTTTTTGTTTCTTTAAATGAACCAGAATATGCATTTCAAATGCATGAAATGATTTGAGAGCAGTTTTATAATTGGTCAGTAGTATGTTCACCCCTCTCTAGCTCCACAGCGCCCCATGAAGGCTAAATCTGCATCTGCTCCAGGTATTTGTAGGTGGGGTTTTCGTAGCCGTGGTTCTGCATCTTACTCAGGTGACGTTCTTCTGGAGTTAGCATAGGATCAACCTGAAGCACAAGAGTAAGATTTAAGATATCAGTACCTACAACATAAGCAACTATTAAAAAGTTTAGGAACAGTAAGATTTTTTGTAATGTTTCGGAAGTTGACCAAGGCTGCATTTATTTGATCAAAAATACAGTATAAACAGTAATATTATTAAATATTTTTACAGTTTAAAATAACTGGTTTCTATTTTAATGTATTTTAAAATTGAATTTATTCCTCTGATTGCAAATCTGAATTTTTAGCAGCCATTACTCCAGTCTTCAGTGTCACGTGTTCTTTTCAGGAATAGTTCACGAAAAAAGAAAAATTACGCATTACTGAGTTTGTTTCTTCATCAGAACAGATTGGAAACGTAGCATTCCATCACTTGATCATCAAACGATCCTCTGCAGTGAATGGGTGCCGTCAGAATGAGTCCAAATAGCTGATAAAAACATCACAATAATCCCCACCACTCCACTCCATCAATTAACGTCTTGTAAAGAGAAAAGTTGCGCTTTAAAAAAAAAACAAATCCATCTTTAAGGCATTTTAATTTTAAATCATCACTTGTGGATAACTGTGATGTTTTTATCAGCTATTTGGACTCATTCTGACGGCACCCATTCACTGCAGAGGATCCATTGGTGAGGAAGTGATGTAATACAAAATTTCTCCAAATCTGATAAAGAAACTCATCTACATCTTAGATGGCCTGAGGGTGAGTACATTTTCTGCAAATTTTCATTTTGGGGTGAACGACTGCTTTCAGAAATGAGTTGTGCTGCTCAATTTTGTGGAAATCATGAGATTTTTTTTTGATGAATAGGAAGTTCAAAAGAACGGTTTTATCTAAAACTTTTGTTTTCAAAAATGTTACCGACAACAAACCTTTCAATGGCCGTGTATATTCATTAAATATTTTATATAATTAAATGTATATAAACTCGAAAAGAAGTAAACTTGTCCTTGCAAGAGCATTATCCTTCACAGCGATTGAGAGAGTCTGTCTAGCCTGTTCGCCATCCTCTTCAAGGTAGCATTGAAAACACTAAGAGTGAATGATGGAGCGTCAAGTGTGACCGTTAACTCACCTCCACAATGCCGTGACTGATGGTGCCGTACTGCCTCTTCCTCAGCAGCACCAGACTGATCACAATCACGGTCGCTATGGCCACTGCAATCACCAGCAGGCCAATCAGAGCGCTGCTTCTGAAGCTGAAATCATCCACCAGGGGGCGGAACGTCTCCTGGTCTGATCCACGGCTGAACTGTGAGGGGAAAAATAAACAACAGTGTCATTTACACTGCAAAAGCACAAAGAGCCAAGACAAACATGGTTAACAGACATCTTAAAGAGCTGTCGATGCCGCTGAAGCAGGGATCTCATAATGTAACTTATGTACAGTGTGGCAACAGAATTGTTGTTCTGCCATAACTGGTACCAAATGAGAATCGAAATAATTTGCTACAGATCAAGAGGAAAAAGAACATGTACTGATGTTTTATGACACTACACATGAATATAATTTCAATTTCTGACATGTAAATCAAGACAATTTTTTTAAGTGCTTCTTAAAGGGACAGTTCACCCAAAAAAACTTTTTTCTTTTTTTTCCTGTGGAACACAAAAGAGATGCTTTGAAACATATTCATACTGCTCTTTTCCAGCATTCACTTTTTGTGTTCCACCAAAGAAAGAAAGTCATACAGGTTTAGAAGGATACAACTATAATCATGACTACCACTATAATGTTTTAATAATTATTCAAATTAATTTAAATAGAGATGTCCATAATGTACTATAATGATAATGGCATATGGCACAAAGGAAAAATATCTTTGCTATCACTTTCAGAATGAATTTTTCCAGCCTATGAATGTTAAAAACATTGACAGCTAATCAAAATCTACCAACTTTAAAGAACTTAAGCATCTAAAGGAATCGTTTACCCAAAAATGAAAATTTGGCCAGGCCATCCATGATGTAGGTGACATCCATGTTTCTTGGTGATTCATAAAATGCAAGTCAATAGGCGCGTTTCTATTACAGATTTGCGCAAAACTTTGGCGATATTTTATAAATGTCGATAAAAAAGTATTGCGAAATGACGCCGTTTCCATTAACCAATGTTATGAGACTTAAACGTAACCTTTTGCCTCTCGCGATAAGTCATGCCAATGGATTTTGGTGGGATTTTGGCTATATTTATTCAAAGGAGGCTTATGCGTGTATCTTTTACACAAGCAGCAAAGAGAGCCGCTTCAGAAACGTGCGTGGCGCGGCTGGAATAAACCATAGACTGTATAAAAACATAAACACAAGCATTGAGTGGCCGTAATCAGCTTCAGTGACTATCAGAGCCACATTGCACCGCAGACGTGTGCAGTGTAAATTGTCTAAGCATTAATAGTAGGGAAA